TCCAGGGGATCTGACACCCTCTTCTGACCTCCATGGGCATTGCATGACACATGTGCACTTACAAACATGCAGGCAATACACTCATACACATAAGATTTAAAAAGAAATAAAGAGCCAGTGTTGGTGCACGAACATAAGAAAACAGAGTCTTCCAGGTCACACCTGGCCAAAGTAGAGAATAAGGAACTGCAGAGGGAGTGTCCCTGGATAGGACTCCTGTATTGAAACTCACTCACTCTGGGCTCAGGGACCATTGTGGCAGAGGGGGAAGAAAGATTAGAAGAGCCAGGGTTGGTGCATGATCATAAGGAAACAGAATTTTACAGGCTCCTGGGGCCTTGCTCATATAAACTTATAGCAATGGTGTCAGCATGCACAAGACCCATGCAAACTCAGTCAGATAAAAACCAGCATAAAGCTGGGGAAATGAGCAGGAGGCCCCAACCTTAGCTGAGTAACTATTGGCAGTTGATCACTTCCGGGTGAGGGGGAGCTGATAAACTTTAAGGGGGTGGTGCTAGATAAGCTGAATAAGCTCCAACAGATGTACTTTCACCAAAAGACATCTGGGTACACAAATTTGACTCCATAGGCTTTAACATATAAGACAGAATCTTATTCGCAGGCTATGGGGGGGGGCTGCATATAGAGGAGGTCTAAATATGACTAAAATTTATTGTATGAAATCCACAAAGATTCAATAATGTACACAAAAGGAAATACTTTTTTAAAAAACTAGCAGGAAGGGCTGGTGAGTTGGTTCAGCAGTTAAGGGAACTGCCTGCTCTTGCAGAGGACCTGGGTTCCTTGCCCAGCACCCACATGGTGGCTAACAACCATCTGTAACTCCAGTTCCTGGGGATCAGATGCCCTCTTCCGACCTCTGAGGGCGTTACACAACATGGGTGCAATTACACACATGCTAGCAATATACTCATACATATAAAATTTTAAAAAATAAATTATTTTTTTTGTCTTTTGAGACAGGGTCTCCCTGCATCCCCAGCTGTCCTGGAACTAACTATGTAGACCAGGCTGGCCTTGAACTCACAGAGGTCTGCCGGCCTCTGCCTCCCGAGTGCTGGGATTAAAGGCATGTGCCACCACATCTGGCATAAAT